CCAGACTTCCTGTTTAACATAGCAGCAGTGGCAATCCTACTGATATAAGTCAAGCTCACAGTCTCCTTATTCATTCTTACTACTTCCCCTGTAGAGCCACTTGCCTCCTTATTATTCCTAGAACATGGCACAGCCTCTGCCTTAGGGTTTTTGTTCATGATATCCCTTTCCCAAATTTCCAGTTTTGATCGAACTGTCATGATGTATGAACAACTACTATGGACTGGCTGTCCTTTTGAAACTATAAGCACTCCAGCCTTCCCACAACTCATTGGCTCCTTTTCTCCATAGTATTACTCCCACCTTTTGTCATTCCAGGTAAATTACTCAACATGGTTTGCAGCATGCTCCACTCACTAGAGTATGACCATCACAGAAAGGGTCCCTGCCCTTTTACAATTTCATGTATGATTGAGATCATGTGATATTTTTCTTTTTTGTGTCTGCCTTATTTTACTTAGCACAGAATCCTCTAGTTTCATTCATGTTGTGGCCAATCATGTGAGTTTCCTTTTCTGATATGTACATACATATGGGTACACACATAAACAGTATAATTACACACATGTGTGATGGAATATAAGCATATGTATAGTATATTTATCCATTTGTCCATTGATGAACTCAGGTTATTTCCAGGTCTTGGCTTCAGTGACTAATGCGGAACAAGAGAATACAGGTGTCTGTATGATGGAGATCTCATTTCTATTGGGTTTGTAGCACAGGTCAGATTTCTAGGCCATTTGGTATCTCTTGCTGCTTTCCTTAAAAATATGCTCTTTTCTGCCATTTTTTTTTTTATTTTTTATTTTTTGGTTTTCTCTTCACAGCCCCCCCCCCCCAAGACTTCTCTTTAAGGTTTATAACAGCCACCCTGTTCTAACAGGCATAAGGGCTGCTCTGTGGTTCTGGTTTGCAAACCTTGGTGATTAGTGACACTGAACACCTCTTCATGTAGCTCTTGGGCATTTACTGTCTCCACCCGAAAATGTGTATTGAAGGCCATTTTCTCACTTTCAAGTTGAAATGTTTTTCTACCATTGGGTCTTTCTTATACATTTAAGTATTAAACCCTTTTCAGATATATGGTTTGTAGATATTTTCTGTATCTGTATGGAGCTTTTTCCATACACCAAAAGAATAAAATTGGATCCTACCTTTTTTATGCATGATGTCAGAATAGATAAAAGACCTAGGCACATAAGACATAAAACCAAAAACAAAAACATCAGGAATACTTAATGATATTGTCCTTAGCAGTGGTATCGTAACCAAAGTTCAGGTTACCAGATAGAGAGATTGGTAGGTAGGTAGACAACTATCTCAGGTAAAAATTTTAACAAAATATGGGCTTGTCAATGATGTGTGGCATATAGATATATTTCCTACTAATTTTCAAAAGTAGAAATAATTGGCAGGACTACCTGGTGACATTGTAGCTATTGGCTTCATGGATTAAATTACTAAAGATGTTCTCAGATGTTGCATTTTTCTCTGATGTTCCTCAATTGCCCTCACAGTCTCACACAGGGCACCAATATTGGGTCAGTGTCACAGAAAGAAAAGAAGGCAGAGCACTTCTTCTTGATGTTATTTTACCAGGAGTCAGCCCAGATTTGAGTACTCTACTTCACTGAGTGTTATCCCTGTCTGTCTGTTGTATAAATCTATATCTGTATCTGTTTGAGTATGTGTGTGAGTGTGTGTTTGTGTGTGTCTGTCCATCCATCTGTTTGTCCCTAACAAAGGGCTTTGCTCTGTTTACTGAACAGTGTAGAAAGCATCACACGGAGAAGGGATGCATACAGGATACTTTATAGAAATCTGTAATAGAGTTTTACAAGGGTAAAGTTGCTGACTATGACTGACCACAACTGACCCAGATAACAAATGGTGTTACAAACCTCACTGTTTACCAAGCAGTATCTGTATGTCCCAGTGTTTATGGTAGATATTCACTTGTAAGATTGCTTTCAGCCTATTTGCTGTTTCCAGCAAATGATTATCATAACACATATGCATTGCTCTGGGTTAGGCACACAGTAGAGTACATAATTTAAGGTTGTAGTTTAGGCTGTAAAAGTTGATTATATGCAGAAAATCCAAGCCAAACAAGGTTGGTTGTTATATTGTTCTCTTACAGGCTGGTTAAACAAACAGCCTGAGTACACACAGGACAGCAGTGTTAAGTCTTAAGTGACTCAAGGTGTTATTAACTCTGGTTGTGCGGCCCAACAAAAGCCCAAGTTTGTTATAATGTAAGAGATATTTTTATCAAAGGTACTGCCACAGTTGGGTAAGCCAATAACCAAGAGAAGGAAAAAAAGCGATATCTGGTATAACAAAGTTGATTTTGTGTAACTCTAATGTGTATAGTCAATCTAACCTTCAGAGTCATTATTTGTAGGAGTTATATTGTAAAAGACATTTAAAGCTCAGACTGAAAATTTGTCATTAGAGCAGTTGATTGCACAGTGCAAACTGCCTTTAGGCAATTACTTTTTTATCCCGGTGATAAAGCATGGTGACCAAGGCAACTTAATAAGAAAGAGTGTATTTGAGGCTTACAGTTTCAGAGGGCTGCGGTCCAATGGTTATCATGTCAGGGAGCACGTCAGCATGGCCAGCAGGCAGGTAGGCATGGTGACAAGACAGCTGAGAGCTTACATCATGATCTATAGCCATGAAGCAGAGAGAGAGAGAGAGACAGAGAGACACACAGAGACACACACGCAGAAACAGATAAAGATAGAGACAGATAAACACAGAGCTTGAGACAAATATTCAAATATCTGAGCCTATGGGGTGGCATTCTCATTCAAGCCACCTCAGTGTCAGTGAAGCAGATGTTCTGGAATTGCCCATTTGTGTGTTTTTTCCTGACTCCCAGAGTGTGAGTTGGGAGAGGGGAACCTCAGGCATCACACCCCAGGTATCAGGATTGGGAAGCATACAGGTAGCTTCTAGTATTTGAGATGTGGCATTTTAGAAAAATAAAGCTCAATTCTGAAAGAGATTAGATAACTTTTAAAAGTCTGTAGATTGAAAAATTATGTTTTTTGTTTCAGTGTTTTTAACAAGCGATATGCTTAGAAGATATTTTGGAGGTGAGAATAGTGTAACTGTAATGGTGAACTATGTAGTAACTAAAGTGACTTCTATATTTATTAGGGATAGATGGCCTCCTTTTGTTTATTCTCTGCTTTTTACAGTGTTATTGGTTAAAGATATGACTAAGAACTTTCAAGATAAGCAATGACAATAATGTGAGATCTTTTCCTTAATGATTATTGTAGAGGCTCCAGAAACTTCAGCAGTTGCAGTGCGGAGGACTTTGAGAAGTTAACTTTAAATAAGGGTGGGAGCTGCCTTCTCAATGTCCCGAAACCTGATGAAGCTTACAGTGCACCCTTCTGTGGTAACAAGCTGGTGGATCCCGGGGAAGAGTGTGACTGTGGCACACCCAAGGTCAGTGAACTTTCCAGCTTTGCTTTGTGAAATTACCATGAGGGGTGCTGAACTGAAGCATTGGGTTTGAGCACCTATGGCAGAGGAGTGACTATGGGTGTTAGTGGTAAGTGAGGATTGCTGTTGTGTTGTGTGGCTATGACTGGTCAGCTCCTGGAGATATGATGCCATGACATCAGGCAAGCAGGGTGGTACCATTCTTTTTAAATGCTACCTATCTGTATTTATTTACTGTAGCTGTTTGATTAGATTATTTGTTACTGGCATTACATAACTGGTTAGTTCTTTATGTGTTCACCATTCTGGTCATGCCATTGAAGAAGTGTTTGTTCAGCTGAACTCATGTTCAGCTGATCCATCCTCTTCAAACGCCAGTGTCCTTTGGTTAGTCTTTCCTTTATCCTTGGATCCTTGGCTCCATGGCCCTTAGCTCTGTCCCTCTTCGTTGTTATTACTCTCTAGCCACATTCGTCTCAGAACACCCACTTAACCCTTTCCCCTTGGGCTGCCATTAAATTTGGAACATATTTGTTAGGTTGTAAGGACTACTGTGTTAGTTGTTTTCCTTGCCTGGCCATACTTGGTCTGGAAAGCCTTCTGGTTTCCTAAGAGAACATTGTTTTCTAGTCTATGTGATTGATGCACTCCATGACTTTGTTAAGCTCTTTGGATTCTCCTACCGATACTCAAGAGGCGGTTTCTCATGCCTGGAAATTGGGGCTCTTTAAGTAGCTCTTTGGGGGACATTATCACTCAGGAGTTGTCACTTCATTTAAGCTGAATGTCTGTGTATGCACACACCTAAGTATTATGTATAACTTTAGATGAACCTGTAGAAATATACCCCCTGAGTCTTTTCCAAACATCCTTAGTGTTCTATATGTCTCCCTCCTCCTCTCCTTCTGTATTGCCCTTCTCCATGCTCTTGCCCTCATCTCCTTAGGTTTTACTATGCGTGTCCCTGGTGTCTAAGGCAGGCCTCTGTGTACTTATTGACCATCTGTATATCTTGTGGTGTATCTTCAACTCTTTATCTTCCTTTGAAAAATCGTGTTATTTGCTACTCAGTTCTAGTTTATTTATCTTGGATATATATCTTTTATTAGATACTTGATTTGTAAATGTCCTGTTTATTTTTTGACTGGATGTGAGTTTTATTACTGAACATGATTTGGTAGGGGACAAGAGAGCACTGTGGATGTTCTCAGGAATGCAGGGTTTACCTCTTGTCCAGGGGACTGTGACTGGAGATATATGTGACCCCACAGCCATCAGGAAAGAACTACTTCTCGGCAACCACATCTTCAAATTTATTTGCATTAAAATTGGAGAGGCCCCATTTCTTTGAGATGTGGATCTTCTGGTGGCCAGGGAACTTGAATCAGTCATATATCCTTATTCTTCATCTGGGTGCAGATGGACATGATGACCTTGCCACTGTGTCCTGGGGCTTCCCAAAGGCACCACACATAACTGTCTGAATCCTAGACTTGGGTCAGCATTGAGATCAGAGATTTGAGTAGCTACCAGAAAATGGTCTCCATCCCATAGGGCAACCCATATAGGCAGCAGGCTGCATACACTACCAAGGAGGCTGCTGTTTGCAACCATTGCACACCAGGCCGCCACAGGGAAAGGGACCTGATGCTTAATTAGCTGCAGATGCAAATGTCCTCTAATAGTTTGCCTTTAATAATGTGCAGCATCTTAGAAGCACAGAGCTTTGATCGTGATGAAACCCATTATCTCTTTGTGCTTTTATGGCTGATGCTTTGGGTACAGATTTTCTCCTAGGAGTTTTATTGTTTTAGACTTTACATTTAGGTTCATGATCCATCTTGACTTAGTTTTTTTTCTCTCTTTTATTTGTGTTTGAAAGTATAGATTGTAGCTCATTTGTTTTAATTTTTGTTATATGATAATGAGTATACATTGACTATATGAAATGCCTCATAGGTATGTAAGAATTATTACATGTTAATTAAAAGGATGAGTTAACTTAGAACATTATTATGAAATAATTGTAAACAGACAAGAGGTTGCAGAACAGTATATAAAACTCCATGCACTCCATGTATTCCTCTGCTAGGCTCCCCCAGTGGTGATAGCTTAGAAGACTATAGCACATTTAAAGTGTGTTAAAATTTCTATGCTCACATAGGTGTGTGTGGATGGGAGGTTGGAGGTGAAATGTAACTGTGGTGGCCCAAAGCATGGTGACAAGAGCTGACAAAAATGCTGCTCAGTACAGTGTGTGTGCTTAGAATGTATAGGGCACTGCGTCCAGTCCTCACCTCCTACCCCACAAGAAAAGGAATAAAGGAAAAGAGCCATCCCATGAGTAGTGGGACCCTGAGCAGGAAGAGAAAGGCACACATGGTTATTTACTTCTCTGTGGTCCTTCAGAAGTCAAATGTCAAAGCATAACCTCCAGACAAGCTGCATCGAGGAAATGATTAAGATTAGCACTGGAGGGTGGAGCCCTGATTCACTAGGACCATGTCTTTAGAAGAAACAGTAGCCATTTCCCTAGCTTTCTCTCCAGTGCAAGCACTGAAGATTGACCATATTGTATGTGCCAGCCAGCAAGAGAAGGCTCCACGAAGCTCTCTGTAGGAGCCTTCTCCTTGAGTTTTGAGCTTTCAGGAGGACGGTGAGGAAAGGAGCCACTTCTTTAAGTCCCTCAGTGTCTGGTATTAAGGAGTTACCAGCTGTCTTTTGAAGTATCTTGAGACTTGAATACCTGCAGCTAAAGAGGCTGATGTGCCTTGAAGCACAGCTCGGGCAGAGAAAGGGCTCTGGCCAGGTTAGAACGAAGTTACAGACAAGAAAAGACTTTATTAATCGTTACTGCCATCAAGGACTCATTATTGACTGGTGGTCATTTTCTGTTTGCAGGAGTGTGAGTTGGACCCATGCTGTGAAGGAAGCACTTGTAAGCTCAAGTCATTTGCTGAATGTGCATATGGCGACTGTTGTAAAGATTGCCAGGCAAGGAATTCTCCCTATCAGGAACAAATCAGACAAGGAAGATTGATATCTGGAAATGCATTTTCCGAGATCTCTCTTTTTATTATATGATCATTTTATATTCCTTCCCATTTCTGTGCATTTTCTTTTCCTGTAAGGGCCCATTGAGTTAGCTTATAGGGTTGGTGTACTGGGGATTAAATATAAGGCTTTGCATTTGCTGGGTAAACACTCTACTGATGAGTTATGTCTCCATCTTTTATATTCTTTTTAAAGTAACATGTATCTGTTAGGGAAACTACCGAAGTATAGACTGTAGAAAATTAAGAGTTGGGGAGTTAATTAATAAAGAGGATCTGAATTTGATCCCCAGAACCCTTTAGAAACAAAACCCCAAATCAAACACTGGTGGCATGCCTCATGGCCCCACGATCCAGCAGGGAGTGTGGGGCTCTTCCTAGACTGAGTGGCTGCAGTAGTTTCCTGGCCTCACCTCTCACACCCAGCCATGCTGCCATACCAGCAAGTGCTTCACCCACTCCCCAGCCTCAAACTCATTGCTTCATGCTGTGGTTGGTTTCGAGGGAGCATTGTCATTGTCACCCTAGTTAGCGCAGAGCTTCTGCAGGGTTCCTTGTATTTTTATTTAATTTGCATTTCATTTAATTACCTGTGAGGTTTTTTTTTTTTCTTTCATTTTATAGTAGGTATGGGCTTTGTTCAATTTTGTGTTGAGCAGTTTAATCGTTGTAGTTTTAAATGTGATGAATTTTTGGAGATTGTCCTGATGTTCCTATTTAATTTTAATCTCATTACTTTAGTTCCTCCCAGGAGGCTCCATGTGCAGAGGAAAAACCAATGAGTGTGATGTCCCTGAGTACTGCAATGGTTCCTCTCAGTTCTGTCCGCCAGATGTCTTCATTCAGAATGGATATCCTTGCCAGAATAACAAAGCCTACTGTTACAATGGCATGTGCCAGTATTATGATGCACAGTGTCAGGTCATCTTTGGTTCAAGTAAGAAACCTGTAATTGATTGGTTTGACTTTATCATCTGTTTGCATTAGGTTTTTAACTGATGAGCTTCTCAGATCTTTACCCTTCTTCCTCCAGTGCTTGATGTGCTTAGGATTTCATATGTGCAATTTGGTGAATCAGTCGATACTATGTGCTCCTCTCCCTCTTTCCTCTTTGAATAGCACTCAGTGTATATCCTCTCTCTCTCTTTCTCTCTCTCTCTCACACACACAGACACACAGACACACAGACACACAGACACACACACACACACACACACACACACACACACACACACACACACGTTTTTTGGAGGTGGGAGGATTGTACCCAGAACCTCACAATGCTAGGCAAGCACTTTTGCTTTGCTATGTCCTCAGCCTCCAGTTTTCTACTTTTAATAATATAGGCTCTGTGGGTCTGACGTTGGTTTCATTCATCATTTAAAATGTCCTTGTGATTATCTATATTGATGCATGTATGTCACAGAACATTAGTGTATTCTGTGTTAGTCTCTCATCTGTGTGTGTATTGTGTCTTTGTGTACGGGTTTGCATGTGTGTGAATGTGAGTGTATGAGTATGGGTGCAGTTGGTATGTGTGTGAATGTGTGGGTGAGTGTGTATGGGTTTGCATGTGTGTGAGTATGGATGTAGTTGGCATGTATGTGAATGTGTATGTGTGAGTGTGTGTGAGTGTAGATGCAGGCTAGTTGGCCCTTGAGCTTTAGGGATTCTTCCGTCTTCACCTCTCACTTTCCCCACAGAAGCACTAGAGTTACAGATGTGAACTGCTTCATGTGGGTTCTGGGGGTTTGAACTTAGGCCCTGACACTTGTATGACAAAGCACTGTGCCACTAGGCTTCCTTCCCAGCTCCTTGTTTTCAGTTTGTATATTGATGGGTCTCATTCTCTCTCCCTTTCCTCCACTCTCTCCCTCTGTCCCTCCTTGTCTGCCTCCCTGCCTCTAGATCTCTCTCTCTCTCTTGAGTTTGCTAAATACTTACCATTAGTTGAATTGCAAATATTTAATCACTATTCTGATATTGTTTTGAAGTGGTCACAGGCATCAACTGTTCTACTGATGTCAATCTGTTTAAAGAAATCTAAACAGGATGTTGCTGTTTGTCTTCTGCTTTAGCTTGTTTTTTTTTTTTTTTATTGTTCAGGCTCTCTAGAGAAACAGAGCTAATGGGATACATTTGTGTACACACACACACACACACACACACACAGAGGGAGAGAGAGAGACAGAGAGAGAGAGAGAAAGAGAGAGAGAGAGAGAGGGAGGGAGGATGGACTGATTCATGCAGTTCTGTTATTGGAAAAGCTGATGGAGTCATTCTGTTCAATGACCCTCAGGACCCAGAAGGAGCTGTTGTTTCAGTGTAATTCCAATGGTAGGAATACTGTAGGTATCTCAGCCTGATGTCTGTTGGGAAAAATTCTCTACTGGTCAGTAGTATGTTCTTTTCAAATGTGAAGGATTGTTTGAAGCACATCCTTGAGTGTAACCTGCTGTGTTCACTCTACTCAGATAAGTATTAGCCTCATCCAGAGTGTTCTTCCAAGCTCACAATCAAGTACATATTATAGCACATGATGGAGAACAGAGAAGACATGGGAACATGCGACCACAGTTCTAGTCATGATGAAATAAGAAGACCTAGATGTAGTTCTTAGGGCTGTAGCTGCTCTATGGTCACAGCTCTCTATTCCACATTATGCTTTTACGCTGCCCATTCTGTATTCCCTTTGCCATCAGTAAGTGCCTTACTTGGTTATAGTGACTGCTGGTGGAGTGACCCACACATTCATTCCTGAAGGGTCTGGGCCATGTGTAGCTTCACTGGATTTGGTTGTGACAGGATACTTAGGAAAACCCCTGTATTCCAGGCCTGCTTTTCTTGCTTTCATGTAGGGTTATGGATCTGTCATCTAGCCACATGCAAAGCCTTTCTCTGTTAGTTCAGAAGCATGAGGAGCCCAGCATAATTGAGTGTGTGGTATAAGCTCTACTCTAGTGGAATCATTATTGTGGCATCTAGTGGAAGATTTTTTTCTTTGAACACTCAGAGCTGGGAGCTATCAGAGCATGAAGTCATGGGATCAGGAAGCGTGTTTTTGCTGAGTGAGTCACTAGGGGCATGTCGCTAAGTGCCACTCCCATTTCCATCCCTAATGCCTGCACGCTGAGTTGTGGTTATAGGCACATATGCCTATTTGAAGAAATGTTGCTCCTGTCCTTCTAACTAACACTGTAACTGAGTCTCTTACATGAATTTCCACTACTCTTAACAAGCCATTCTAGTAAAGATACAATGTGATACTTAGTGCTATAGATAGGTCTGCAATCCCAGCCCCTGAAAAGTATTGAAAGTTTAAGACCTGCTTGGGCTCAAGAACAAGTTCAAGGCTAGCCTGTGCAACTTAGTGAAGCCCTGTCTCAAACAGTATAGTGTTGGGATAAAGCTCAGTGGTAGAACACTCGGCTAGTATGCACAGGCCCTAAGTTCAGGCACCAGTACTGGGAAAAATAGGTGGTGTGTATGTGGGGGGGGGGTACAAAGTGCTGTCCCTTCAGAGATGAAGAGGGAATAGTGTAATTTCCCTGGTACCCAGTTGATGGCTGATCCTCCAGGAAATGGGGCCTTATCAGAGACCCAGTGTATTTG